TTCTTTGGAATGGCTGGAATTCAAAACTCGAGATATTAAAGACCCAGCTCTGTGTGGGCCTGTCCCACTCCTCCGGAGTAAAACCTCTCCATGCTGTGTCTGATGTCCTTTGTCCCAGAAAAACAGTCCCATGTCTGGGTGGTGTATGCAATGTATGGTGTAGCACTGCTAAAAGCAGCATTAAGGTTATATGCCGTTTGTGAGCTCCTCTGTCCTCTGCTGATAAAAGGTTTTTTGTTGGCACCTACAGGGCCTTTTGAATTTGGAGAGGCAATATATCCTCTTCCAAAAGTGCTCCAGAAAGGGGAATGTTCTCTCCCAGTGCACCCTGATAATCCCTACAACATTCTTGCACTCCGGGGCCAGCTCTCTCCTCCCCAGGAGTACCACCTGCACCACCTACCTGGAGAAAATTATGCACTTGCAAAATGCACTACAAATTTGAGCTCCACACGTTGTTTGAAAAATAGTCTGCAGCACTATTTCTTGCTCTTCTGTCCATGGTCCAGAGAGGTTTTCCTCTTGTTAAAACCTGATGCTGTACTCTCAACCCCTCTTTCTTTCTCTCTTGTCTCTCCTTGGAAAGCATTCCCTCCCCTCTGCTGCACCGCCGTTTTTCTGTCCTCCAGCTCACTTTCAAGCACCTTGCACCTGCCATGTTGTCTTTCTCCAACTATGGAGATCCTTCTACCAGTCTCCAGATCAATTTCCTGGGTGGCCCAACTGATCTGACTTCAATATGGCTGTGTTTGAAGGCCAAGGAGAGCTCAGGGTCCCACTACTTCTCTGCCATATTAACTCCTCCTGTCTTGTAATATTTGAACCTTTTATTAACTCCTTTGGACACATTTCCCCATCTTGTTAATCTACTACTTTAATAAAGAAATGAAATTACAGTCACTGAACAAGTAAAGATCTTCAATATACACACGTGCTGCTGCTTCAACCGATATCTGACATTATAATTGGGTTATCGATAGAGTCTAGAAAAATGGTCTTGAACATACTATTGGTTGAATATACTAGATTGTCTTGAACATACTAGATTGTCTTGAACATACTATTGGTAAAATGTGGATGTTAAGAAACCTTTGGCAATCAATACATAAAACAAATCATGTTTTACACCTGAATGTAATGTAATATTATATGTCAATTGTATTTTAATAAAAAACATAAAAACTCTACTAATGAGGATGAAGAAGGAAGAGGGGAGCATGGTAGAAAACATCTATATTGTCTTAGACAATATGTAAATCATCATAAACACACTTCTGGTAAAAATATAGATGTTAAGGAATTCTTACTTCTTATAGTAAAATGTGAAAGGAAAGAGATAAATTGAAGGAAGAAGTATTAAACATAAAGGAATGAGGAGTTCACAATTTTGGAAACTCTCAGCCTATCCATATAGCAAAAGATTATAAAATTAGAGGATTGGCTGTCAGGAAAGAGAAAGTGTGGCTGGATAACCTCTTGCTATTTTCTCTGAATAGGTCAGAATATTTAGTCTAACAAACCTCTTTAAATATTAGGTGTGTGATTCAATGGGTCCCTTCAGCCATATTGGCTGTTGCCAATAGTAGAGATGAAATTATTTTAAAGATCTGTGGAGCATGTCCTATCCAGTGGAGTGAACTCCATGACATACCCAGAAGAACCAGAGGGTACCTGAGAATTTTATACCTGGATAAACACTGCTAGCTTGGATTGAAAAGGACAGAGAGTGACATGAAAGAAGCCTTTTGAACTCCCCCAAAGTAAGAAACACGATCATAAAATATTCAGCTGAAAAGTTGTGCTGTCTTTCATGAAGAACGAATGAAAACTCTTGAGTTTGAAGCAAGCAGTGAACCCAGAGGGTAAACTTCAAGCTCACAGGACTGAACTTTAATTCACAGATTATTTACAGTTTTTAAAACTTAACATTGTCCTCCCAGTTGGATGTCAACATTTCTAAGGGACAGAGATTCATATTTTCCTTCTATTTTCTTCCATTTTGAATGATAATGTCTGCATCTGGTATCTTAATATTCCTTGGGAGCAGATAAACTTGTTTCCTAATTTCATAGGTCCACAGATGGAGAAACTTTGCTTTTGTATGAATCATACCCAGAGTGTCCCGCCCACACTTGATTGAATTATGTGGATAATTTAAGTTGGGACATTTGAGCTAATGATATTTAGATGAGATTTTGAACTATGAATTGATGATGTGAAGGATTGAAACTTGTTGGAATGTTGGGGGTGGGGTGAATGTAATTTTTATGTGATATGTACATGAGACTTTGAGGCCCAGAGAGTAGACCATGGTGGTAGAAGATGATGCCCCCACCCAAAGATATGCTCTGCTCTTCTGAACCAGTGAATTTGCTACCTTATATGGCAAGGGGACTTTTCAGATGTGATTGATATAAAAATTTTGAGATGGGGAGAATATCTTGCATTATGTATTTGGGCCCTATATAATTATAAGAGTCCTTCTAAAAAAAGGACAAGACGAGAAGAGAGTAAGAGTAGGAAATGTGATGATGGAAGGAAAAGGCAGATGATGGATGATGCCATTGCCAGTTGAAAGGAGGCCATGAGCCAAGGAATGAAGGAAAAGACCAGAAAATGGATCGTCCTTTAGAGTCTCCCAAAAGATTGCTGGACTGCCCATACCATACTTTTGTCCTAATGACACCCACTTAGGACTTCTGATCTCCAGAACTATAAGATAGTACATATGTTTTGTTTTAAGCAACTAAGTTTATAGTTGACTATAAACTAAGTTTATAGTAATTTATTACAGCAGCAAGTGAAGACTAATATTGCTATCACAGGTGATCTAGATAACTCCAGGAAGAATGGGAAGAAGAACCTTTATAATGAAGGCAAATGTCAGCGGCACTAATGGCAGTGCCTATTGCATTGCAATTTGGACAGACTCTAGATCTTTTTGAATCTGAGCCTTACTCAAAATGGGTTGATTTTCAAAAATAAGCACTAATTTATTTAAGGAAAATGTATAATCAGAAACCTATTGTCTCCAGATTGCACAAGGGCTTAAGAGATGTTGGACTTGTCAAGATATTGTGCTGTCGTGAATTATCAGTTATTGTTTCATACATACAGAAGCCTCAGCCTATCAAATAATTCCCATGAATTTAGCTGAAGTCATAGGCCTTGAGCTCTGTGTGGGGCAATGGCATATCCTTTCATCTGAGCTCTTTGAGGATGTTTCTCTGTCCTGATGAATATGTCAAATGAATCTCTTCAGGGCCGGATATTGTCAATAAAATGTCCTGCCTGTGCTCCTGGGGAAAGTTGGATCTGGTTAAAATCTTGCCAATAAAGATTGTGGCCAATGGTCGGACTGTTTAAATACCCCATGGACAATCAGTTAAAGGTGTACTGTGTCTCTTCCAAGGTGAAGGCAAACTGACGCTGAGAGCCTGTTGACATAGGTACTGAACAAAACATATTAGCCAAAAGTATGATTGCAAAGTACAGTAAAACCTTGGATTGTGAGTACCTTGTTCTGTGAGCATTTCACAAGACGAATAAACAGTTCTAATAAAATTTGACTTGATAAAGAAGCAGTGTCTTGCAATGAGTATTACCCGATGCAGAAAATCACATGATCACAACTGAGCCAATGGTTCTTGACATTTACTTTGATATCTAAATGCTTTGGATTACAAGCATGTTTCCAGGATGAATTATGCTTGCAAACCAAGGTGTTATTATATTTTCTAGTGCATACTTGGATAGCATTAATTTCACTAAGTTTGGGCTTAGTAGTTTTAGTGTGCAGGATTATACATTAATCAGTCCCTGGTTTACACACAATTTGATTGAATGTTGTGACTGATGAAAGCTCACATGCATAAGACTGTGAAATTTTTATTACTCAAATAGTAAGGAATGTATTTTTTGGAAGAGTAGGACAGGCTCCTAAGCAAATCTGAAAAATGTCTTTCCAGAGGCTGGAGGGAGGAGTAGTTTGAGTTTTTATTGTGAGTAGAGAGTTGGGATGCATTGTGGATTCCCCCTCACTGGCCCTCCTTGCATGGTTTGAAATCCCACAGGGCCAAGGGAGGAAGCATGCTGACTGTCTTACTAGTTTGCCCAGTTGAAGGATCTCTATAGAAGAGGGCATTGGAGATAGGGCTTGAAAACTGTCAGCAGTCAAACATGAAAAATGGACTCAGACTTTTTATTACACATGGGCATATGGATGAAGCCATGTTGGTAAGTAGAGGTACAGTGGTTAATATTTATAGAAGTTTTTTTGTACTTTTTCGTGAATCAAAAAACTATTTGGATTTATCGCTCTAAATAATGAAAATGAGTTTTTCTAAAAAAGGAGGAGTAGAGGCTCTGGAATCAAACAGACCTGTATTTAAATACAAAGTCTGTCACTTCCTATGTGTGCAACCTTGACAAATTGTCTTAAATTCAATTAACTTTGATTTCTCACCTGTAAAAAAGACAAATAGCTATACCTTATGGAAGCTTTAAATGGAAGCTCTTATAACTTTAAACTGAACAGCATTCCTCAATCAGTGTAAGATCCTCTATTCATGTTAATCATTTTATAAGTTTAAATGAAAGAGAACACAACCAATCCATACAAAAACAGTTCAAAAAGTAAACATTTTAAAAACAGAAAATTATTTGAGCAAATAAATGATGACATTATCATGCTAATGTTAATCCATGTTTTATGGCATGTTTAACATTTTTAACCCATGGGTGGGTGTTTTTCTAGATATTATTTTATTTAAAATTTTTAATGTTTTATTTATTTCTGAGAGAGAGAGAGACAGAGTGAGAGAGAGTCAGAGTGAGCAAGGGAGGGTCAGAGAGAGGGAGACACAGAATCAGAAGCAGGCTCCAGGCTCTGAGCTAGCTGTCAGCACAGAGCCTGCCGTGGGGCTTGAACCACGAACTGCCAGATCATGACCTGAGCTGAAGTCAGACACTTAACCAACTGAGCCACCCAGCTGCCCTAGATTTTAAAGAGAAGGAAACATCATACCAAGTTATCCCTTGGCTCCCACCTGAAGATTTTAACAAAGAATTGAAGAATTATTTAGATTTTTTCTTTTTCTAAAATTTTTTTAATGTTTTATTTATTTCTGAGAGAGAGAGAGCGTGAGCAGAGGAGGGTCAGAGAGACAGGGAGATATAGTATCTGAAGCAGCCTCCAGACTCTGAGCTGGCTGTCAGCACAGAACCCAACATGGGGCTTGAACCCATGAACCATGAGATCATGACCTTAGCCAAAGTCGGAAACTTAGCTGACTGAGCCACCCAAGCGCCTCTAAATTTTTTTCTTAAAGAAGCTTTGGTTGGCAGGTAATTGTTATTTTTTTGAACCAAAAAGTCACTATTTTAGCAATATAAATGAATGGATTGATGCATGGATGCTTGGACTCTAGACAGAAGACAGGGATGGACGGATGGGTGGATGGATGAAGGGCTTGATGATTAGTGGATGGATGGAGAAACAAGTATTCACGCAAGTCATCCAGTGCAGTCACTGGAGATTCTTCTTTGCCTTCTCTGTGCCTCTTCCATGAATGGATTTCTGTAGCAAGTAGAGGTTGTGTCTTCTGGGACTTCCTTTCAACACGTCTGTTACAATCTTTGTTTATAAGCTCCCCAACACAAAAGCACAGGTACCTCAACCTCTCACTGTTGATAGAGAAATGAGAGCCACTTACTTTTCCTCCTTTTCTTCACACATAGTCTAGTTTTGGGGGGAAGAGTTATGAACAGTGGTTTTGTAGTAGTTGAACATCTCGCGATATAAAGTCCTTTTATTTTTTTATTTGGCCATGCAGGGTCCTTTTAAAAAAGCAATCAGCCTCATGCAAAATAAGACATGAGTCCTTTTCTTCATCTGAGTGGAAGTGAGCATACAACCATATAAAATTAGACATTGAAGTGGAAAGACAAACCTCCATTCCTACCTTAAATAATTATAGTGATCTTGCCTTCTTTCTACCTGAAAATTCTACTTACTAGTCTAGGTCTTGCTTACATTTGACTTTTTCCATAAAGTCCTTACCCAAACTGGGAGACCACAGTCCCTCCTGTCTAGAGTTGGTCTAACCTATTCATTTGACACTTAGTCTATATTATCTTGTCCTGTTAGTTATATTAAGTATAGGCTTTGTCTTTTCTCCCTTTATTTAATATTCTTGGAGACAGTCATAGGTAACCATTCATTCTTAAACCCTTGTTTCTAATGTTAGCTTAATTTTAAGCATGATTAATGAGGTATATCTAGGAATTTTTATAGCACTACTGTTAACATCTAAAATTCTGGTTATCATTCATTTGCTATGTGAAATCCTCAAAAAATGCATAGCAGAAGAGGATTTTATCCAGTCACTTCCATTGTATAACTTGAAGTTAATTCTAAATATCATGCAGAGTTCTGTATATTTCTAGTAAGTTCTCCACCTCTGGGCCTTCTCTATCTGGGGTGCACTGGCACAGTATTATTAAAGTGGTGCCAGGGTGTTGATTCTCTTGCTACTGTATGTAGCCCGCAGGTCCCATATGTCTTGAGCTATTGCACCTGTTAACTCAGATACCTTATAAGTAAAGATAAACATCATTATATATCTCCCTGTAGATTATACAAACAGGAAGGAAACAATCATATTCTATATAGGCAGTTATCAGAAAGCATTATAAGGAGATTGGCCTCTGGAATATTCCCATGGGCAAAGTCTTATGTTAGTATTCTTTGCCATTATCTTCTCTGGATATCTCAACCTACATTGACGTAGAAAAGCCAATAATATGTTTATTATTAATCAGGCTTTTCTTGCATTAAACTTGTAGGCATTAAATGAAGAATTCCCATTTTAGCTGTGTTTTGAGTTCTATATGATAAAATGGTCCCTTGTTCAAGGCGATCTGTCACATTCAGAATATACAATGATTTTTAAAATAGCCTATCTGGTCAATATTTATGGAACCGTGTCATCAAGTGACTTCCATGGTTTGACTGAGTAAATCAATATGTAAAAGAAAGTTTATGAGAATATTACAGAGTTTATCAAATAGAAAGAGATCTGTGAGATGTGCTATGGTCAGAGAAGGTTCTTAGAGCAGAAAGTCCACCAGTGGCAATTTGTCTTCAGATAACACAATTCAGTTGTGCCCATGGATTTCAAGATTTAAGAACTCAGAAATATGGATGTCTTTAAATGTTTATTTATTTTTGAGAGAAAGAGCATGAGCAGGGGAAGGACAGAGTGAGAAGGGGACAGAGGATCTGAAGCAGGTTCTGCAGTGACAGCAGCAAGCCTGATGTGGGGCTCAAAGTCACAAACCCTGAGATCATGACTTGGGCCAGAGTCAGGCTCAACTGCTGAACCAACCCAGGAGCCCCTATGTATTTTTTTTAATAAACTGGCACAGAGTGTGCTTAAGATTTGGATGAGGGAGAGAAGGGGAGGGGAGGAAGGGAACACTCTCAAGAGCAGAACATCTGCTCAGAGTGCCTGTGAAGATGGTACTAATGGACAATGGAAGAATAGGTGGGCTCTGCTGGGTGTGTTCTTGCTTACCGGAGATATTCTCTTTGTAGCCCAAAATTCTTTTATGTATTGTAAGATTAATGCATCCAATGAATATTTACCATTTGTTTTCTTTCCTACAGAGATATATTTGGAAGCTTTTTAAAACTTATGGAGCTCCTGGGGTTTCAATGCAGCCATTTTCTAAGGAGAAGTGATATCATGGATTCCTTAAAGAATGAGAACTTTGACCTGGTGATAGTTGAAAATTTTGGCTACTGTCCTTTCCTCATTGCTGAAAAGCTTAGAAAACCATTTGTGTCCATTCTCTCTTCCTTGTTTGGTGCAATAGATTTTGGACTACCAAGCCCTCTGTCTTATGTGCCAGTATTTAATTCTTTGCTAACCGACCACATGGACTTCTGGGGCAGAATGAAGAATTTTCTGATGTTCTTTGATTTTACCGTGAAACAGAGGCAAATCCAGTCTACATATGACAACACCATCAAGGAACATTTTCCAGAAGGCTCTAGGCCGGTTTTGTCTCATTTTCTAAAGAAAGCAGAGCTGTGGTTTGTTAACTCTGACTTTGCCCTTGAATTTGCTAGGCCCCTGCTTCCCAACACTGTGTATGTTGGAGGCTTAATGGCCAGACCTGTTGAACCAGTACCACAAGTAAGTGAAAATGTAGCTCTCTATATGGGCTTCATACAGAGCTCTTTAGTGCAGAGCTGGTGATTACCCTGCTAGTGGAATCCTGGGAAGGAAGTAGGGTGAGGCAAGTGAGGCACCTATGACATGCTTTTTAAAGGAGTACTAGTTTTGAGGGCCATACAATGATAGTGTTAGGACTTGCACAACCCTAAGATTGAGAGCTTCCTTAAATGGTACACCCAGGGTCCTCTCTAGTCCTGGCTTTGTTAGGATAAGCTCTTTATTTTATTTTAATTTTAGTAATCTCTACACTCGGCATGGGGCTTGAACTCAGCATCCTGAATAGCATGCTCCTCCAAATGAGCCAGCCTGTCACCCTTGGATAAGCCTTTTAATAAGTTGATATTTTCATGTGCATTTTGTATGATCGTATGTATAGTAATTAGGTGGCAAGTGTCCATTACATGGGAGAATTGTTAAAAGAGATGAGTTACTCACAATGAAACACACAACAATATGAGGATGTAACCAAGGTGTGTCTGGGTGGTAACAACTGCAGCCATCATCTCCAGAATCCTCTATCTTCTGATTTGATTGATCTGAGGTTAGGATGGGGCATTGTAAATTGTGAAAACTGCTAAGTTGGTTTGAATGCATAAACTCAGAAATATTCCAATAGAAGTTTTTTTAAATGTTTATTTTATTTAGAGAGAGAGAATATTATCATTAACAGGGGAGGGCTGAGAGAGATGGAGACTGAGAATCCCAAGCAGACTGCACTGTCAGTGCAAATCCCAAAGCAGGGCCCAAACTCAAGAACCATGAGATCATGACCTGAGCCAATTTTGAGAGTCAGACACTTAAACAACTGCCCCACCCAGAGGTTCCTCTGCCATAGATGTTTAATTGTTCTTAACTTTTATTTACTTAGTTATTTTTCTACAATAGAAGTTATTAAATAGAGAGGAATTAAGATGAGTTGGCTTCCTGTTGTCTATCAGCACTGGGTTGACATTTTGTGGAATTTATCATATATAATATCTTGCCACCTAGAGGGAACTATGATGATCTCTATTTTTATAAATGAGGAGACAGAGAATCAAGTGGTGTATAAGTGACTTTTTCAGTACCATATATTGCAGAGCTGGGGAGAGCCCAAATTTGACCTGGGTTTTCCAGGTACCCAAGTGTCTATGCTTCCTCTACTGACCTTGCACTGAGTGAACAGGAGGAGTTGGGGAATGATCTATGGGCTATATAGGCTTTGAGATGGTGGTAGAGTTTTTAAGGGATGGAGCTAGGGAGGAAATTGTTCCAGCTGGAGAGAACAAATATTTCAAAGTGTTAAAGTAGAAGTATGACAGGCATGACTGGATACCCTTGGTGACACTAGCTAGACTGGATCAGAAGATTCAATTGTGTAAATACAGCCAGGCCAGATTACGGGAGACTTTACTTCATAGGAGGGTAGGTGAGGCCTTGGTTCTAGGGCAGGGGGAGGGAGTTATTAAGCAAGAGCATAATGAGAGTAAGAGCTGCAATAGCTGTGAGATAACAGAGTCTTTTTCCAAAAATGTTTCTCTATATTTTCTAGTTTTTAGATAATGGATTTATGTGGCTTTGGTAATTAAAAAAATGACAAAGTGTTGTCAAAGTGGTCCTTTTGAGATAAGGTAAATCATCCAGTGTTATGCTGGATGGAGTCAATCCAGGGAGGGGGGTCTAGAAGCTGGGGTAGTTGGGCTACAGAAGTCCAGAGTCGGGGTCTGAAGAAACACTCGAAGCAAGAGCTGACAAAACTGTTAAAACCAAGATTATAACATTAAGTCACAACCTTCCTTAAGAATTTCCTGAGGACTTTAAAGAGTAAGCTGACCAGTTTGGGTTAGGCCTGGGCATCATCACTTTTTAAAAGTCTTCTTATGTGGATATAATTCGCAGTCATGTGGTTGAGCCACTGAGGTAAGAGATTATTTACAAAGATCAGTTAATAAGAATATCACAAAGTATCAGAGTGAAGCACTCTACATGGTGCATTGAGCCAGTGGTCAAGAGCCTTCCTCCATTTCTTCCACTTCTTCTTGTGCTAGATGCCTTCTTCTGTTTCTGCAATCTAGCCTCACATGTTACACCTCCCTCTGCTAGACCCTGACACCCCAC